TCCACGAGAGGTGTTACCCTTCTGGGCGGAGCCGCGTTTGTGTCTGCGCCTGCTGGACGTGCCGGAAACCTGCGAGCAGCGATCTCAGTTGGGTTGAGCTTTGCTTCCCAAAGCTGCCTGAGCACACTTCACGGCTGGAAATCGTGCACTCGAGTTCTTTGGGTTGCAAATCCCAACCTGGGATGTGAAGGGGGTCTGGATGGGAGTACCATTTTGTCAACCCAAACGGTGCCTTTGTTTCCGGAACGAGTTTTGACAGTGCAAGAGAGTGATTGCTGTCCTTGTGATGTTGCTTGACTCCGTCCTTTCCGAGCTTGATTTGCGCTGATTTCCGTCCTTGGCATCCACGTCAAAGCCATTCATTCGCATAGACGTTTTGGCTGTGGACTGCGCGCTTTTGCCTGATGAGCTGAGGCAACCGTCTCCGCAACTCCAGCCTCCGCTCCTGTGTCTGGACTGGAGGCACCGACAGCAAAGCTTGAGTGATGTTTGCCGCTAGCCTGTCAAGACTGCTGAGCTTAGCTTTTAACCTGTTTCAGCCAGCAGGCTCCAAGTCTCTGTTTGGGGTGCTGTGAAAATCACTTAAAGGATGTTTACCAAGGAATTCCTGGGCAATCCTGGGATATGGGACCTGACCGGCTGACGAGGCGAGCAGCGTCACCAGCATGGCAATTGCCAGCGCAGCTGTTGCCACTTGTTTTGCCAGCCGCAAGGCGCGGTGGCTCAGAGCGGAGCTGGAGGGTCAAGCAACGGCTGTGACGTTGGCAGCGACTTCTCACTTTCCGTCTATTTTTAGTCAACGTCCAAAAAGGCGAACCACTTATTTCGTTTTCTTTGGCACGTGAGATTGTCAATGGCATCTCAGACACTGGGTTGCAATATTTTCCGCAGGTACAGCCTTCCTGTCCACATTTGTTGAGGTGCCTGTTTTCAGTTGATCATCTGGTGATTTGCAGATATGCTTGCAATATTTGCACGGCGTTTTAAAAACGAAGAACCATTCAGTGAAAAACACACAGGAACACATCTGCAAATACCCACGCCAGTATGCACGCACAGAAGGGCATACATACAGACACATGCCCCCCCAATCCATGATGCAGGCAAGTCATACGGTACCCATGCATCGGCACGCAACTGTCTATGGGCGACGTGCGGACGTGCAGGCAGACAAGCATACAGGCAAGGAGACACGGAGGCACTGGCATTGTACGATCACAGCCGTAGCTGCAGCCTGACAGCATCCTGTACAGGCAGATCGGCGCAAAGACACAAGTACAAATGCATACGGGCCTGCAGAGACACGGAGATAGAATACATACACGCACCGTGCGTGCTTGCGTGCTCCGGCGCAATGTGTTGACCAACATGCGTGCGAACGGCAATATCGCGCAAAGGCCGAATGCGTGGATTAAAAGCTCCGTGCATGCATAATGTAATGTAAAGTATGTAATGAATATACTGTATGTATGTACTTCAATGTATGCATAAGCGTAATGTGTGCAATGTAGTGTCATGCAATGTCGTGTAATATAGTGCAATGTAATGTAATGAGGTAATGTAACGTGATGTAATGTAAGGTGATGTAATGTAATGGAATGTATGTATGTAATGTAATGTAATGTAATGTAATGTAATGTCATGTCATGTCATGTCATGTCATGTCATGTCATGTCATGTATCTAGGTATGTATTCTCTATTGTTGTAATGCAATGTAGTGAAATGTAATGTAATGTACTGTAATATCATGCAATGTGAGGTGATGTAATGTGTGTATGTATGTATGCATGTATGTATGTATGTATGCATGTATTTTATGACATGTATGTATGTGTATGTAATGTATGTATGTATGTATGTATGTATGTATGTATGTATGTATGTATGCATGCATGCATGCATGCATGTATGTATGTATGTATGTATGTATGTATGTATGTATGTATGTAATGTATGTATGTATGTATGTATGTATGTATGTATGTATGTATGTATGTATGTATGTATGTATGTATGTATGTATGTATGTATGTATGTATAATGTATGTATGTATGTATGTATGTATGTATGTATGTATGTATGTATGTATGTAATGTATGTATGTATGTATGTATGTATGTATGTATGTATGTATGTATGTAATGTATGTATGTATGTATGTATGTATGTATGTATGTATGTATGTATGTATGTATGTATGTATGTATGTAATGTATGTATATGTATGTATGTATGTATGTATGTATGTATGTATGTATGTATGTATGTATGTATGTATGTATGTATGTATGTATGTATGTATGTATGTATGTATGTATGTATGTATGTATGTATGTATGTATGTATGTATGTATGTATGTAATGTATGTATGTAATGTATGTATGTATGTATGTATGTATGTATGTATGTATGTATGTAATGTATGTATGTATGTATGTATGTAATGTATGTATGTATGTATGTATGTATGTATGTATGTATGTATGTATGTATGTATGTATGTAATGTATGTATGTATGTAATGTAATGTAATGTAATGTATGTATGTATGTATGTATGTATGTATGTATGTATGTATGTGAATGTATGTATGTATGTATGTATGTATGTATGTATGTATGTATGTATGTATGTATGTAATGTATGTATGTATGTATGTATGTATGTATGTATGTATGTATGTATGTATGTATGTAATGTATGTATGTATGTATGTATGTATGTAATGTATGTATGTATGTATGTATGTATGTATGTATGTATGTATGTATGTAATGTATGTATGTATGTATGTATGTATGTATGTATGTATGTATGTATGTATGTATGTATGTTATGTATTTAATGTATGTATGTATGTATGTATGTATGTATGTATGTATGTATGTATGTATGTATGTATGTATGTATGTATGTATGTATGTATGTATGTATGTATGTATGTATGTATGTATGTATGTACTTCAATGTATGTATGTATGTATGTATGTATGTATGTATGTATGTATGTAATGTATGTATGTATGTATGTAATGTAATGTAATGTAATGTAATGTAATGTAATGTAATGTAATGTAATGTAATGTAATGTATGTAATGTATGTAATGTATGTATGTAATGTATGTAATGTAATGTAATGTAATGTAATGTAATGTAATGTAATGTAATGTAATGTAATGTAATGTAATGTAATGTATGTATGTATGTATGTATGTATGTATGTATGTATGTATGTATGTATGTATGTATGTATGTATGTATGTATGTATGTATGTATGTATGTATGTATGTATGTATGTATGTATGTATGTATGTATGTATGTATGTATGTATGTATGTATGTATGTATGTATGTATGTATGTATGTATGTATGTATGTATGTATGTATGTATGTATGTATGTATGTATGTATGTATGTATGTATGTATGTATGTATGTATGTATGTATGTATGCATGCATGCATGTATGTATGTAATGATGTATGTATGTATGTATGTATGTATGTATGTATGTATGTATGTATGTATGTATGTATGTATGTATGTATGTATGTATGTATGTATGTATGTATGTATGTATGTATGTATGTATGTATGTATGTATGTATGTATGTATGTATGTATGTATGTATGTATGTATGTATGTATGTATGTATGTATGTATGTATGTATGTATGTATGTATGTATGTATGTATGTATGTATGTATGTATGTATGTATGTATGTATGTATGTATGTATGTATGTATGTATGTATGTATGTAATGTTGTAATGTATGTATGTATGTATGTATGTATGTATGTATGTATGTATGTATGTATGTATGTATGTATGTATGTATGTATGTATGTATGTAATGTATGTAATGTATTTATGTATGCATGTATGCATGTATGTATGTATGTATGTATGTATGTAATGTATGTAATGTATGTATGTATGTAAGTAATGCAATGCAATGCAATGCAATGCAATGCAATGCAATGCAATGCAATGCAATGCAATGTAGTGTGATGTAATTTAATGTAATGAAATGTAATATACTGTAATGTAATGTAATGTATGTATATATGTATGTATGTACGTCTGTCTGTCTGTATATATGTATGAAATGCATTGTAATGCATTGTAATGCAACGTAATGCCAAGTAATGCAAAGTAGTGCAAAGAAATGTAAATCTATTATAATGAACGGTATGTATGTATGTATGTATGTATGTATGTATGTATGTATGTATGTAATTATGTATGTATGTAATGTATGTATGTATGTATGTATGTATGTATGTATGTATGTATGTATGTATGTATGTATGTATGTATGTATGTATGTATGTATGTATGTATGTATGTATGTATGTATGTATGTATGTATGTATGTATGTATGTATGTATGTATGTATGTATGTATGTAGTATGTAGTATGTATGTATGTATGTATGTATGTATGTATGTATGTATGTATGTATGTATGTATGTAATGTATGTATGTATGTATGTATGTATGTATGTATGTATGTATGTATGTATGTATGTATGTATGTATGTATGTATGTATGTATGTATGTATGTATGTATGTATGTATGTATGTATGTATGTATGTATGTATGTATGTATGTATGTATGTATGTATGTATGTATGTATGTATGTAGGTAGGTATGTATGTATGTATGTAATGTAATGTAATGTAATGTATGTATGTATGTATGTATGTATGTATGTATGTATGTATGTATGTATGTATGTATGTAATGTATGTATGTATGTAATGTAATGTAATGTAATGTATGTATGTAATGTAATGTATGTATGTATGTATGTATGTATGTATGTATGTATGTATGTAATGTATGTATGTATGTATGTATGTAATGTATGTATGTATGTATGTATGTATGTAATGTATGTATGTATGTATGTATGTATGTATGTATGTATGTAATGTACGTATGTATGTATGTATGTATGTATGTATGTATGTATGTAATGTATG